AAATTTATTCTGGTTTACTTCAAGGAAAGAAGTATTTATAAATTTGATCACTTTGAAGTAAGATAAGGCCTATGGACATTGACTTAAGCATATCAAAAGGTAAAAGTTGAAGTATATAAAAAAAATTTAAGAACTTTCTCCCCTAATCCAGAGATTATAAAGAGGTTCCAAAAGTCAGCCAGGATCAGAATCTAGGTGTTGACTGATGATGAAAGTATAAAGATGAATAACTTGGAAGGATCAAGTGAAAATAGAATATACAGTCTGGGAACCTTGATATTATAATTTTTCTAAGTTCTGTATATATTGTAAGTTTGAAACTTTACTATTTAATAATCAAAGAGGTACTCAGAAGTGGAACCAGACACTTCAAAATTTAATGTGCCCAGTAAAATGTGACCAATATACTATTGGGAAGCAGCCCGTCTGTATCACAGAATAGTGTCACTCATTTTGGCAGTATTTCTGGAATGAGCACTGCTAGAGTCAGGAACCCAGGGATCTGTGGCCCTGCAGCCACTTTTACATCTTCTCTCATATCCACTTTGTCCTGCTTCCACCTCTCGTAAATACAGTAGGGAGCTATTTGGCTGTGCTAGGAGTGTCTCTCTCCCGTTCAAGATTAAATTACTTAGGGAAAGTGTATATTTATCTCTGCACCTTCTAGTACTTGGTACTGGTAGGCACTTGTGATGGTCAATTTTAGGTGTCAACTTGACTGGATTAGGGGATACCCAGATAGCTGGCAAAGCATTATTTCTAAGTATGTCTGTGAGGATGTTTCTGGAAAAGATTGTCATTTGAATCAGTGAAGAGAGGAAGATTTGCCCTCACCCAATGTGGGTGGGCAGCATCTAATCAGTTGAGGGCCCAGATAGAACAAAAAGGCAGAGGAACTTTTCTGAACTGGGACACCCATCTTCTCCTACCCTTGGACATCAAACCCCCAGGTTTTCTGGCCTTCGGACCCCGGGACTCGCACCAGTGGCCCCCAGGTTCTCAGGCCTTCGCCTTGGACTAAGGGTGGCATCATGGCTTCCCTGGTTCTTAGGCCTTCAGACTTGGACTGAGCTATGCCACTGGCTCCCTTGTTTCTCCAGCTTGCAGACTCCACATCATTGGACTTTCTCAGCCTCCATAATTGCATTAGCCAATTCCCATAATAAATCCTCTCTTATGTATCTATATGTATATCCTACTGGTTCTGTTTCTCTGGAGAACCCTGACCTACAGAGAACTTGAATGAATGAATGAATGGAGTGAGTATGTAATTCTCCTTTTACTGCCAACACTATTACTATTTTAAGGTATTGAAAATAATATAACTACACGGGAGCAGAATACTGGAAAACCCAGTCTGACTGGCTCTAAAGAGCATTACTAACTATTGGCATGTTTGTTAGAATAGATGTGGGTTGAGGCAGCCCTTCAAAACAGTTTTTTGGCATTTACTCCTAAATAAAGAAAATAGTTCTCCCCTTTCTCCCTTCTCTCTTGGTTAGCCGAGTGTACATAATTAAATAGTTGCCAACAGCAAAGCTCAGCCCACTTTACAAATAAGAATTACAAATGGCAAACTGATGGAGTGTTGAATGTGAGGTTTTAATGTATAGTTAAAGAGTGACAAGTAGAACTCATGGGCTAAAAAAAATGCTTTTAAGTTTTGATAAATGTTTTAAACCATTCTGATTTAGGTAAGACTACACAAATCTTTAAGAAATTAATGGAAAAAATCAGGCAAATGTTGTTATTTTAGAATTGTGATATTTTAGTGCAACTTGGAAAGTTATTCCAAAACCAAAAATGGTCATTTCAGAAAACACTATAGACTATCACCAAAAAATGAAATATTCACTGTTCTCTCAGATTTTCAAAGTACATTAGTACCCAGCAACTTCATTCTGTGCTTGCTACAAAATCCCTATCCTTGCTGAGAATACTTTGCCACTGCTTGAGAGAACTGCAGTTAAGTTTAGAACCAGGATCACTGCAAGAGTTACTCCTTTGAAGGGATCTAAAAACCAAAGTGTTAAAGCAGGGAATAGTGTT